AGCACTTTACAACAACAACAAAATAGGATACAGCTTTGTGGACTTTTACCCATCAAATCTTGCCTCTCTGTAATTATTATATTCAGGTGACCTGAAGTGGCGTTATTGAAAGCAGGCAACCTCTTTATGTTCTCTTGGTTTTTTCCATTAGATGATAAATTACTTATATGTAAATGTTAGTGGCATAATATGAAAATACAAACCTTTCTTAATTTTAAGTTCTAAGTTAAGGACAAGTATCTCAGAGTAACCCGTGTATATAACTACCAGAAAGTAAATTAGAACATGCTAGTGACAATATTTCTCTCTCCTTTTATTCACAAAAGGTAAAATTTTTACCCAGTCATTTAGAGTGAAACCAGGGTCATTCTCTGCAGGCTCCTCCATGTCAAGGATGCACTTCTCACAAGCCACTTCAAACGTGGAATCGCCAAAGCAAATAGTGAGCATGGAAAAAGCATCAAGTTCAAATGCAGTAGAGACTTCAGAGCTGAATTATACTGAAAAATTGAATCAGGTGAGACATGTGATTCTCGAGATACGGATATATGGAAAATGTATTTTTAAGTTTAGTGATTATGACTTGGATCTGATGGGAAATTCAGTATTTTAATTGAAGTCGTTCACTTGTTTCATATTTGACTAAGCACTTCCTATGGTTCTGTGGATTGGTAAGAAGTGAGAGGTAGTACTGTGTTTTTATGTAAATGACACATGCATTAGACAGTTTTTTTGTTTTGCAGACCATGCAGTCCCTTTGTGCATTAGTGTCCTAGGTGCACTGTGTATATTATGTGTTGTTGTTGTTGTTAAGTGCTGTTGAGTTGGTCCAGACCCACAGCGACCCTGTATAGGGGTTCCAAGGAGCAGTTGGTGAGCTTGAACCACCGACGCTGCAGTTCAAATGACTTTGCAGTCTGACGCATTAGCCCACAGCTCCCCACCTGGGGATAGTTGTTATTTGCATGAGTGCATTATATGTGAAAAATATAGTACGATTTTATCAACTCCATGGTTTCTACTGCTTTCTGCAGATGACTCACAGATCTGTATCTCTAATTCCAGCTTCTCATCAAAGTTATAGAAACATATTTACGACTATTTCATGAATATTTTCACCTCAATGGCTTACCCCAAATACCACAAACCTGGTATTTTTCTGTGACCTATAATGTTGAGGGACTTTAAATAAAAATTAAGATGCAACTAACAAACTCTGGTTAAGTTAACAAGATAACAATTTGAGTTGAGCTCAGAATGAGCACAGGGGAATGAAAGACAAACTTATTATTTTAGTAACTTTATTTACATGTAAAATTTAACCATTTTAAGCATGCAGCTTGATTTTTGGTAAATGTGTTTAGTCATGCAATCACCAAAAAAGCTCTTTCAAACAACTTTGTGACCACAGATAGCCATTACTTTATATTGTTCTTACTTTCAAATAAATTCATGTGAACATAATCTTGAAAGTATTTAATGTTTTGTATCTGTCTTTTTTCACTTAGAAAAGTGCTTTTGAGATTCATCTATGTTGTTATGTGTATCAGTTGTTGTATTTAATCTTTTGTATCTGGCT